CCCGGAATATAAAATACATGCGGTTGCTGCTGTTGATTTCAAGGCGAATTTGGTACTTATTGTCAAAATGATGTGTTTGTTGTACTTTTGTTTTGTCTGATTGTCAATGGGCGTATAATTTGTTATAATCTTGTACGAAATCGCCTTGCAAGTATTTTCTAATATTCATTTCGCATTTTTTTATTTTAAAATTTTTGTAATTTAATATATTTTTTTTATTCATTTCTTAATTTAAAACTAAATCAAACGCAAGAATATTTTTTCCCCGTAACGAAGCCATGCTTAGCGGAAGGTGAGAGTGGGTCACTAGTAAACCCACAAAGATACATATTTTCAAATCGATAGAAAAAAAATTAAAAAATCCAAGTGGAAACCCCAAATAAAAATTAAAAAAATAAAAGATAAAAAAGCGAAAAATGCTGCTCCTAAACTTAAACAAACCTTTTGTATTCATGTATACGTAGTTATTTATGGTAATAAATACATAAAAAATTAAAAAGGGAATTAGCAAGTCTAATTTTTTTTTTTAATATAAGCGCAAAAAATATATTACAAAAGCCTAAGCGAAAATAATGAACAAAAAAAAAATGTAATTGTATTTGCAAAATTTATACAACCAAAACACATGTACGCATTTAGAAGTATGTATGTGAAAATTTTGAAATAAAAGATATGCATATAGCAGGAAAAAAATTAATAAAAACCCAGAAAATATTAAAAAATTATTGTTTTATTGATATCGGGGCCGTTTGTTGGCAGATTTGCATATATTTCTTTAAAACTAGTTTTAAAAATGTGCCAAATCCTTTCAGGAAAAGGCAAGTTCTCGGCGTAAATTTCGATATTTTTAAGGGCAAAATCGTATGAAGAACGACGTAGAAATTCGTGAGCTACCTTCACCTCTTCGATAGCTCTTAAATATCTTTTTAACCGTTATTCCGATTTTATTGAGAAGTACCGCAGTCGACGCCTCATACGATTTCGAATCCCATGCATATAAAATTTTTGTGAAAACCCAATATTTTTTAAAAATATTTGCAAGCAGTTTCCGTCACTCGTTTTTAAACTATTAATTGTGGAATTCCTTCTAGATTTACAAAATAGATTCATATTTCCTAAAAATTGTAATTGTAACTTTTTATTTAGAAAAATGTGTAAAATTTCAATTTTTAATTTGTTTCGAAACCCAAAAAAATATAAAAGGATGCTCGGCAAAACCGTTTTTACATTTTTCAATTTTAGATAAAAACTCCCTCTTTCCATTCGTGCCTGCTTTGTTGGCGAAGCGAAAGGTTTTAATAGAAGAAACACGTTAAATTAAGACAATTTTAACGGATCTCAAGTCCAACTTTGAAATTTTTGTTTACAATATTTCCACGCAATTTTCATTAGTCGTTTTCGAAAATTCACGCATTACAACAAACACTTGGAGTATCACAATTGAAGTTGCGGTGCCGACAGTTTAAGAGGCATGAAAAAATTGGTCCAAACTGATTTGTGCATATTTGGCAGCAAACTATAAATACTAAAACCTTTGCAGAAAAATTCGCCGAAAGTGTCCCCTACCAGCGAACGTCGTAGAAATTCGTTAGCCATTTGGATTGATATTTTTTTTTTGTTTCCAAAAAATTATTTGGAAAAATTTCAGATCCAAAAATTAGAAAACAAATACTCACCTCTCGAAAGTTTCTAGATATCTTTTTAACGGTTATTCCGCAAATACAAAAGCAAAATCGTTGAATTGTTTTTGTCAGTTACTGAGTGTACTTATGAATTTGTTTATATGGGGATTTCGGTAAGCGTAGCTCATAAATATATTTTTGGAATTTTATAAGGTAATATTTTTGAGTGAGAATTTAAGAAGTGATTCTTTAAAGTGCTTATCAATCTATACACCTGACTTAAATCAACCTTTAAAATTTACTTACCGCTCTTAAAAATCTTATCACTGCTCGTTCTTTTGCCTATCAACGATCTAGTTCCATTGTTTTTGTTAATACAACTTTTTTTTTTGTTATTTTTTACCTTTGCACTAAATTGCATATTTTATTGAGTATTATATTTAATCGTATTTTATATATAATTTTTTTCTTGTATGCTAAACCTTTTCCCATTCAAATTGCTGCTGGTTACGCTAGTATGTATTTGGATTTATTTATTCCATTTTTTCGCACAATTAAATATATTTTTATCAACTACTACAAGCCAATTGGGACTGTAAATTATTATTTTTTATTTAAAAATTTTAATTTTATACTACACAAATTTCCTTTAAACAGAAATTATTGCTATATATCATTACATACACAACTACTGTCGTATATTGTTTTATTTTTTACACATACATTTTTAAAAATATGTTTCTCAATAATTTTATTTATTTACTTATTTTCATTTTGCAATTATTTTCTTCTTTTTTAATGGAAGTGTGGATTATATTGGTTTGCATGCGACCACTTTGCGTCATGCCAAAGCTACAGCTAAATATTTAAATTTTGTATTTTAATATTAATTTCGTCGAATGCTAATAATAATACAAAAACACATAATAAATTTGAGTAAATTTTTTTTTTTGTTATGCCACTAAGATACAAAAAAAAATATTTTTATAGAATTTTTTGAAATGGTTAGTTAGGACAGCAAAAGTGCTCAGGAGCCAGCAGAAGGAATAGAGCGTATATAGAGTTGAAAAAATTATATAACAAATGTATGAAATTTAACAAAAGATACAAAATTTTTACGTTATTGAAACACGTAGTACTACAGTCACATAGCATGGGGAAATTTTTTAAAACTTGTTTACGAATAAGATTAGTTAATTGCACACAAGCTAAACATTTCTTAGGTGTTAAAAGCTTACTTTATTAGTACTTAGATAACTTACGATATAACACGATTAACATAACCAATATTTTATTTTTTTTTAAACCTTTTTTTACTAAACTTATGGAAAACTAAACAAAAATCGTTCGCACTTATAAAAGTATAAATATATTTTAGCTAAATACAGAAAATTTACTTAAATTTTTGCTGCATTACTTTTTTGCATTTTCTTATACATACATATATGTATGTTTATTATGTATCACAGGGGAATCTTTCGCTTTCAAATTGCTATAAAAATTATGGGAAATACGACAAAAGGTGCATTAATAACTTCGAAAGCAAAATTAAAATTTTTTTTTTTTTTGAAAGCTAATTTTTATGCAAATGGGAAATAGTTTTCAACTTCGAAATTAAAATTTTTAATTTTTTTTTAAATTTTATTGAGGCGCGCAGCTAAGAAGTGAACGAAAGAAATCTTAAAAATATGCTTAAAAAACTATACATATGTACATTTGCGGGGACAGGGAAATGGTATGCTATTTTTTTTTATTTTGTTTAACTGTATTTTTTTTTTGTTATGTTTACATAAACGATATTGAATGAGCCAAATGTTTTGTTTTGCTTTATTATTTTATTATGACGCGTGGCACTGCGCAAGCGCGCCGTTTGGCTACTTGCCGCGGCCTACAAACGTCTCCAACATTGCACCATGTCCCAGCTTGTTTTTTTTTGCTACAGAAAGGCTTTTTAGTTGCTTTCTCGTACATTTTTTTATTCTTTTTTTATTTTTTCTCTAGCTGCTAGCGGCTTTAAATTTAATATTCTTGGTTTATGAATTTTTTTATTTCACTTTTTTATTGCAAGTGTAGTAAATTTAGTTGCAATTATCGCTTGTGAAGTAAACTATTTCTTGTTTTTTTCTTAGTTAAAAATGCGAAGATATAGTTTATTTGCAATCATTCGAGCAGTGCAGTAGAGCATAGCAAGCAAGCGCAAATGTTTAAATTTTTCTAATATCAGAGAGAGAACCAAAACAACAACCACATAGAAGAAAAAGTTCAGAATTACAAGGATAAATCCGCCTTTATAGTGTATTTTTTCCGTGAAAATAATACGTTTTTCTTCACTTAGCAGACACTGAAAAAGTTTAAAGTTTTTGCTGCATGCAAAATTGGCAACAATGCATTTAATAATCGAAATCCCAAATGGCTGATATTTAGTACCAAAATTTTATATTGGTTTCTTTTTCCCATAACAGCCTCAATGGCAACAGCACCTATTTCACATTTGAAAAGTAATCGCTTTCTTTCAATATAAACTAACTAACTTTTTCAATAACCGGCCAACCGGCTCGAAGTTCCGCTTTCAGTGGAAAATATTTTGAGCACTTCCACAATTTTGGATTTATTCAACTGCCATGCAATGTTGCAAATTTTCAGTCAGCTCTGTGCTGTTTCAACTAACTTCTTGTGCCGTGAGCTGCTGTCATTTTCGATATTTTTGCAATATATTTTATAGGACTTTTGATTATCCGAGCGCTTTGCACTTTGCCAATTTTCATTATTTTCCTCATACTTTTAATGTTTTCAATCTTCAACAGGCCACCTACTTTGTGTTGGCACGTTTCACCTTTAGCTTTGCGAATTTCTTCTGATCTTTTTAATGTGTAAGTGATATTATACTTTTTTATTAGCTTTTATAATACTAAGCACGTTATTACTTGAACGCCTATGCTTTGCTGCCTTATCAAGTTTCACTGTTTTATGCATGCGGCCAACTTGCTCTATGAACTCTTGCAGTGTTGCCAAATTTCACACTTATCATCCTAATACACCTACGGCCATCATTTGCCTTACGTTGGCAATACACTAATCCGTCTTTGCGACGTTGGCAAATTTCTAAAAAATATAATAATCTTTAATGGAATCTGAATTTCAAAAATACATATCGCCACCTAAAACGCAAACAGGCGTAACAAACATCATCGTTGAAATGCAAAAAATCATAACTAATAAAAAAAAATCAAAATTCACTTTTTGATTTATATGATGGATTTCATCGAATTCAAACTCCCCACATCATTTTGTGAAAAAAGTTAAAATATTAGTCACGACTTTTTCCATTTCATTTCATGATGTTACGTCTGTTTTGCATTTCAGGTGACGATATATTCCTAATAACTTGTGCATACTTTTATTTGCAATGGCTACTATAGAACTCTGAATTATCACATAAAAGGCCTGCTCCTTACATGCACATATTTTGAAATGAGTAGATTGCCTACAGTGAACAGGTAGCCTTCCTCGACTTGCGGTAGTTCTTCCCTTCGCACGTTTTTAAAATACCTTTGGCACATACTGACATGACTATGTATATGTTATACCAAAATAATACTTTAACCCTTAATAGGAACCATAAAAAAGTGACTTGAAAGCACAGCCATATGCAAAGAAATGTTTTTTTTTTTTTATATATATAAAAATATAAATAGTTTGTAGTTAAAAAAAATCTTAAATTTGGCAGTCGGCTCATTTCAAAATATGCTCGAGAATGCTAAAAAAAACTTCGCTTGCTCGCTTACTTTCTTTTGACTGCGTTGTTTCCACTTAATAATATTAGGTTAATACTATTTAGTAAAGGTATTTCAACTTTAAATGTGCACAGTAACTAAGAAAAGTGTTTCTGAAATACATACATATGTTTGCGGGCTAAATATTCAATGTTATTTATTTATTTTATTTTTTCCTCTTCTAGTTTTTGCTTAATTAAGTTTTTTTCTCGCTTCACTTATTCACTATTGCGCTTTTCATTTCATTCTCTACATGCATTCGCCTTCTTTAGTACGCAGTTTTTCTTGTATTCATTATATAATTATCTAAATATAATAGTATTTCATTTCATTTGCTTAAAAATTATTGTGAACCTACATAGTATGTATGAATGTACTTTTTATGGTGTGCATGTGTAGGTGTTCCAAATTTAACCTTTAATATTTAGTAATAATATATTAATTAAAAATATAAATTCAGTCACTATCATCGCGATCTGCATAAGCTGAGCTTCGGTCATGGATTAACATTGAGAGTGTTTCTAAGCTGCGACGTACCTGCAACGAGTGTGGAGGAGAAGAGAGACAATAATATAAAGGCTGCAATACCATTTATATTAATTTACAATAATGTCTTCAATATAAATAACATAATAAAAATATTTGTGCGTAAATTTAAAGGCTAATAACTATAGTAAACTTAAAATACGCGTAGTATGAGAAGAGGGATTAGGTGAAAATTGGCAACGTTGCAATTGCAGATAACCGTAGATAAAGGCATTCATTTAGGGAGGCCTAAAAAGCCAAAAAGGACAACTGTTGACCAAGTTAAAACCGTTCCCACGACGTAACCGGAACGACCCAGATTTACATCTGGCTGAGGACTGTCTTGGGGGAATTTGTATGCTGTTACAAAAACAACAGTCAAGTTAAAACCGAGTTTTAGATCCTAATCGGTGTGGTATCCATTATTAAATCTCAATCCTTGACAAAGTTTTGATCATTTCGGAATAACTCAGAAGAGAAGAACTTCAAAATAAATAAAAAAACAGATGGAATTGCAGTTGTGGTCCAAATTCAAAACATAATGCTAACAACATAAGTAGACCACGATAATATATATTCAGGCGCTAAGATTGGCTGAAAATGCATTGTAGGGGCGCTGGGACACGCGCTATAGCTATTTGCGTTCTCTCCGAACAAAACTTATGAACTATACTTAACGAGTTCACTCTGACACTATTCCCACGACAGTCGTGTCTACGGGACCAGAACGACCCAGATTTATATCCTGCCAAGGATTTTGGAAGTTGCAGTTCAGTGCATATTCAATTGAAAGTCAAAAAGGAACTTATTAGTAAATAGCTAAGAAATATAATTTGGTGTAGAAAATGAGTGACATGTCAGACTACACGTCAGTAGAACTGCGTCCGCTGCAGAGGGTTAAGCTCTTCCCCGTTTTCTGGAACACCGCTGTGCTATCGCCTTCAGCAATAAGTACTACGGCATAACTATGTGTATGAATGAACTAATAAATAGATTGTATTCCGTATTTTAACGAAGGGCCAAGAGGACCACAACGGTTCGCCAAGTAGATATGAATTGAAATTATAATACGGCTTTTGTTCATAGAAAATAACCCTCTTATTGGTTACTGAGACTTAAGAGATTTCCAATTATGGACTTTTCCATATAAATAGATAAATTCTGACGGGAGTTTTGATAATCACATAAATATACCTACTTTACCCACGATTGAGAGAATGTATTCTATCATTCTTGTACTTTACCCTATTTTTGTAATTACTCAGCGCTGGAAAACATTAGAGGCGCTCACTAACTAAAAAAAAGTTGAAAATATGTCAAAACGAAATGTTTTGGCGCTCATTTTAAGTTTTATAACTAATTTACTGCTCAATATTGACTAGTGTTATCTAGGTAAGCTTATTTTCAGCGCTGATAAGCTTTGTTTTCAAATTAGAAAAAATTACATAAATTAAATGTTGTTATTGCGCACACATCTGACATTTATATTTGATTATGAGCAGGTGCAATATAATAAATAAACAATAAGTACAAATGCATTAACTCATAGCATGTAAATACAAACGTACATACAGTGACTCAAACAAATGACTACGCGTTGATTTTTTTTTTTTTTTAATATTCGTAATCTTCTTTGAGTTAAATTCTTTTTGTTATTTTAAGCTTTAACAAAAAACATATAAATCATAGTTTCAAAATTTAGGAAAATTCTATAAATATTCATAAAAATTTCGATCTTTTAATCTGAACATTTTTCGGTAGATATGCAGTTTTATGGCCCATACAATTTTTGTCTAATAAAGTGCAAGTTTCAACCGGCTAAAAAATCGCGTTGATTTTTGCTAATTTTACATATGTATGCTACTTTAAATTTAATTAAATTCAAAGGGATGTCTGCAGTTCTCAAGAAAAGTCACAAAGTACTTTGCTGATGCTGTAAATTTTCTTGAAGAAATACATACATAAATATAGGATCATTTTTTCTTGAGAGCTGCGTACTGATTTTATTTGTAGTATTTCTTCAAGAAAATTTACAGCAAAACTGCTTTTCAAGCAGCAGAAAAAATTAAAAATATTTCTTGTGATTTTTCTTGAAAGCAAGACTATAAGCTTTAAATAGAAAATTGTTTTTTTTTTTTACTGGCTTAGATTTGTGAAAATTAGGACTTATTTATAGCATGTTTATCAGCAATGCAAATTTTTATTTTTTTTTTAATTGAAGTGGGTAATCTAATTTAATATATGGCTGAGACTGGAGTAATCATGCGCTTTCTATTTAGGCAGAAGAGAAACGACTTTCGTGCTTTATTGAACTCGCTTAGGCGGTTACAGCGTCAAATGAGAGAAGATAAACCAAACAAGCAACAGCCGTCGCTTACTTTTAGCAAATAAACGATATTAAAAGAAAAAATTGCCACTGCCATACTGAAAATGATTTAAGTGCTTAAGAAAACGTTACCCACCTTGGCAATTTGTTCTAAATTTTGTGTAAGTATATTCTGAGCTTCTTCGGTACTTTTTGCTTGCAATTCCCTTTGCCAACGCAAAGCCTCTGCAAATATATCGTCATCGTTACCGGAACGCTGCTGGAGAAACGAAAAACATCCGTATATAATTTTCTTCTACCTCACTTAGCCGCCCTCCACCACTTACCCAATGAAATTCAGTTGGCGTGCGGTACGCGCTCGTTTTCGCCTCAATGTCTAGTATTCGATAGAGCAGGAAAACGGAAAACAACGCCAACACCATGGTGAGCAGCACACCCAAGTAGACCACATGTAATTCCGTGGGGAATTTCAAGCGTAGCAGCGCCTTCTGTGTGAGCCTCTTAAAGCTGGACACAGCCGCGTGCGCAGCTGACTTGGGTGTGCTGCTGCTGGTGGCCGCCATCACTGTGGTGGGCAGCGAGGAAGATGTCGACGGTGTGGGTGACGATGAAGCCGATGTGGAAGAAGCGGTGCCGGCCACTATCAGTGCAATGCCTGCGCCAGCAATGGCATCGTTGCTACAGCTGGCGTTTGTACCATCGGCATTAAGCGGCTGGCCGCTGCGTGCCGCGGGTGACGCTACACCTGAATTGGAGTAAGCGCCGGCTTGTTTGGCATCTACTGGAGGAGCTGTAATCGAGAGTGTTTATTTACGATTTTCGTTGTTTTTGCGCGCTATATATGTATATATGTATGTAACTCACCGGAATGTCGCTGGTGTTCACACGTTGCTGCTTTGCCATCGGCTATGTTCAAACTTGAGCTAGCCACGTTGCGGCGTATTAGCGTTTGACCAAGTCCATCTATACCACCAGCGGCGGCGGCAGCTGCTGCTGCTACCAGCGCTTGTGGTGGACTCTCATTGCCGCTAATCGAACAGCTGCTGTCATCCTCGATGGAATACTCTTCGGAAATTTCAATTTCTGCGGGTATTTTTGGAAGAATTTCGGCAGGAGCTAGTGGCGGACAAACGCTGCACATCAGACGGAAGGCTGCCTCGCGGCTAATAAAGCTACCGAAGACATGGCGCTCGTCGGCGGTGGCGACACCGACAGCATTCGGTATGATTTTGGCCGTTTTCTCTTTGGAAATTTTCGTTACCGACGAAGTGGGAATGACAACCTGGCACGGGGGAGTGGGGAAAAGCAGAAGTTTGATCAATAACAATCAGTGTGTGGAGAAAAAACACTTCACCTTAAATAGGGAAGAGTGCTGAGTAATGCTCGCAATCAACTCACCTTCGTAACATAACCAAACACATTTGAGTAGAATGCGAAATGCTGATCCGTTATATAAAGATGTCCTTGTAGCAGAATGTCGCTTACAAGCGCACAAGAAAAATCTACCAAGAGAAAGTATTTAAATTAAAAATTTGTATGGATCTATTTTTTTTTTTTCAAATATCGCAACTCACAATTAATGAGCTTCTCATCCTTGGACACCTGCGTGAAGTGCCGATGGAATTTCTTCACACGCGAACTGGAGACCTCTTTGCGTTTCTTCTCCTTCTCCTTCTCCGCCGGCACTGTTGTTGTAGCGGCAGCAGCAGCAGCTGTTGCTGCCGCCGTCGATTGCTCATGCTTCGCCGTGGTGTGGCTGCTCCAATTACTGTTGGTGGCACTTTTACGCGACGTTGGACTGATACTGCGCACGCTGGTTGTAGACTCGCTTGGCGCTAAAGGATTCAAGGATCTGCATGTTAGAGTGAAAAGAAGGAAAAATATGGCAGGTTTAGGAAATACTCAAAATAAAGGATTTTAGATACGGGATTTGTTAACGAAAAATATTACAGCTAATAGATAGGTATTTTTATCTAAGCTCAAAAGTCTCGAGGCAACATTTACTCAGCCGTAAAATGTTTTAAAAAATAGCTTTTCCGAGTTTCGAACGTTGGAATATCCCAAAATGTTTTTAAGGTCTTTCTAAATTTTAGAAGGGTCATGAGAACTTTTCCTGCCCAGTGAGCTGAGGAAGCTAGGATTCTTTTGTGTTCGAGAACGTTTTGCTGAGCCAAAAATAGTAGTAGAATTTGAAAGTAGTTTTCAATTAATATGAACCAACAAAAATATTTTTTTAAAAAAGATAAGATAATTACTACATATGTATGACAAACATATTATCTTTGTACACCAGCTGCCAATGTAAATATGTGGCCTGCGGCACAACAGCGGTTTTGTTTATTGGTTTACAGTTATTTATGTTTATTTTTTCTTGTTTTTTGTTTTTTTGTCTTCGCAGCCATCGCAGCCATCGCGTGTCGTGTGTCTCACAAGAGTGACGTTTGTTGTTGTTTTTTTTTTAATTTCCGCACATTTGCCGCATTCGCTATCGCAACAGATAATTTATGACGTCATACACAGACCAATGCGGCGTATGGTCAGCGAAAGCAATAATACAATTTGGCTATTAGTAGAGCATACTTTGATATGTATATGCTTATGCATACCTACATACATACATATCTACATTAGACCGCCCCACTTTACAAGCCAACAAAAAAACTTCGCCGTACACCCTTAAGTCTAAATTGCTTTTGGAAGTAAATTTTGAAATTTTTGACCGAATTTGGTGACCCCATTTTTTCTGTGACACCAATATTCCAGAAGATAATTATTAAGTGAAGCCATTCTAAGAGGCGTACCCAAGAAGGGCTGAAAAAACCCGCTTCCTTGCAAGATTTTTAGAAGGGCTTCTTCATTTATAATTTACGCGAATGCATAAATTTATATTATTTAGCATTACAAATGAATTTCAATAAACATTTTAAGTTGCAATAATACATATTTGATATAAACCTTAAGCAAATACTTCAAAGATTTACCTATGATTTTTTTTTAAATTAAAGAAACAACTGTAAAAGAACTCATTCAAAAGGCCTTCTGAAGTACGTCCCATAAAAGCCATTCTGGGAAAAGAAAGGAGAAAGGAATGTAGAGTGGATTTGACTTTCAGGAAGGCCTTTTGTAAGGGCTGTTAACTCCTGAAATATTTACCGCGATTCGGCAAACCAATTGTTTTATAAATAAATAGTTCTACTGGAATAATCAAAATACATACTTCCTTAGCAAAAATTGATTGATTTAATGACGTGATTTTATTTACTAACATTAAGATTGGTATGTCAGGGTGATAAGAAATGAGGTGGACCCGTTTTAGCCATATTTCCTTGGTTCATTTAATGCTTAATATTTTTATGAAAGTATAGCGAATTATACAACAAACACAATATAAATAAATCCACATTTGAACCTTTGTAGAAAAAATTATAAAAATTCAACAAATTGTCCAGAATCAATGAGGCGTATTCTTGTTTCCCAACGAATCAAAAATTTTATATTTTTGTATAGAAAATGATAAAAAATTTCAAGATTTTCGATTCGTACGGAAACAGGAATACGCCCTAGTAGTTCTTAGAAACAAAAGTATCATTACAGTTTTATATGTAGATAATTCCATGATCTTTAGTCTAACCCATTTGTATGTCAGACCTTACCACTTGGCTGAAAATGCAAAAAAGCAATTTATGTGACTTTTGAACTAAAATAAATTTTTTTCATTTATTGTGGCAAATATGTTGCTCATACGCTATGTATCCGCGCGTTTCATTAAACTTATGTATTTAGTGGGAATCAATAACTACATATTGATTACGTGAACTTTAAAGCTTCTGGCGCAAGTTGTCCCCCACAGAAAGTGTCTGGCAATATGTATTGAATATTGATTTTTAACAATATTATTTAAGTGTCGCTTTCTCGAGTAGCTTTTAAAATTCATCTACCCCTCAAACACATTTTTTCAGAACAAATTCTCTTTAGACGGTAAATTTTTATATGTAAGGCAACTTGAGAAAACGATCCTAAAGCAGATATTTTCAGGGTCCCCGCATGTCCATGGTTGGTGCGCAACACCGGGGAATCTGATATCGTTAATGCTTAAGAACGAGAAAGCCTGGAAAGATGTCTGCCATATGGCTGCCCAAGTGGTAAAATACCTCCGACACAACCCGTAATGACGGCTGGGAAGGTCGGTCATAGGGAAAGCCCGCTTTCTTGAAAAGTTACGGCAATCAGAGGACGAACCTCTAAACTAGTATCGAAGGACCTGCATTAAACTGCTGCATCCGGGCAGTACAAACATAGAAACGAACGAACAAAAGAGGTCTGTAGGTTAACACCAACCAAGACAGACAGTGGAATAACATGAACAGTAATAGACGTACAACTTAGTGCTCAAACCGCCTCCCGACGAAATACTTAACAGTGGTCTTGGGGTGATCGGTACATAGACTGTAGGAGGTTTAGTGGGTTAAAGTCTCACATCGACGGGGTTAGGCTTTCGAGGCTTTCTCCTCTCAAAAAAAAAAAAACGTTCATAAATACAAATGACCCTACTTATTCCCGAAGTTTCGTTACTTCGAAACTAAGAATTTTTGTAGGCGAGTGAGTCAATGCAGATAACATTGAAAATATTTCAAGAGACTTATGGATAAATAGTGCGCCTAAGCTCATAATTAGTCTAAATTTTTATTCTGATAAAGTCAGCTTTTGTTCACAAGCGTTTACTGTGAAAATTAAGGTATTAAAAACTTAAGTGCTGTGTGAATATTTGGTTTTGCTTTGATATTACATATAATGGCCCTCTGTAAAAACGACACAATACAAAATTTCATGCATTTAAATTATATAAGCGGATTATGTTAATAAATAACCATATTTTTTTGGAATGTCGATATATGTATGTACGTACAGACACATGTTTAGTTGGTATCAATCCTAGCATCAGCGAAATTGGGTACTTAGTCTGAAAATCGAAGTTGGCAACCCTAACTATTGAATAGTGGCACATGTCTCTAATCCTTTTCTAATCCAAACTAGATATGTATATAATAAGCTTCATTTGCGGCGATGTGGTAGGTACATATGTATAACTTTGGTATATAACTATCTATTACAGTTATTTGTAGACACCTAATGTCCGAATGAAAGTAAAGTTTATATTTATGTACATACATATTTACATATGTACATATACAGGCAGGCTTTGAGCTCAATAAAGCGGGGGTTGAAATTCATTCGGAAATGCAGAACCTGCATGATAGTTATAAATTAATAAAATGTTTTTTCTTACAAAAAATGTTATTCCTTTTCATCATCATTTAATTACCCGAATAATATTGATTAATATTAATTGCTGCTGCAGGCTACTATTATTTACGAGAAAAAGGGTCGTGAAATTCAGCTTAAGTGTCCATGGGAAATCTTAAACAAAATGCAATGAGTCAACGGAGGCTCGCGTGCAGGCAAGCTAAGCTGGTAATAATAATAATGAGGAGGAACGATGGAGGTCATGAATTGCGCGTGGGGTTCTAGAATGGTGGAATTTTGAATTTCTCATTAAAAATTCTGTGCACTTACTTATATACAGGTAAACATAAATAAAGATTAACAAATTTACATTGATTTTGTTTTTTGCTTATTAGTTTATATTTATAAATTAGTATTTTTATATTAATAAAAGAAGAGAAGTAGTTAAAAATGTAGTAAATAAGCATTATCTGTAATTATTTATTGCCCTTGATTAGCATAGAAAAAAATATATTAGCGACGTTTAGAAGTGACGACATCTTATCGCTGGTGACTGACACCAAAATACGTATATACGTTTTTACGTACGGATTGTGAAAACTGGTTAGAAAACTCTACGTTTAACAAAAATAAAATCTCATTGACTATATTTTTAAAAATTCCACAGTTTTGACAAATCAGTGCGATCTTATCCGGCTCCATAGGTAATATTTTATCGCTAGCAAAATTGGTAATCTAGCGTGTTGGTGGCGCTGTCAAAAGCATAAACCTCACCCGAGAGTGTGGTGAAAAACTTTCATCATATCATTGAGGGCCATTTTGCGATGAAATATTGAGATATCGCATGCCAAACTTGCATTTAAATTTGAATCTAAAGTATTTTCAGCTCAACCCATAGTTTTCCTACATTAATTTGTACAATCTTTAGTAGGTAGTTTGGTGACATATTAGGATACCAGCTAAATCGATTTCCAAAAATATTTGAAATTGAGTCCCCACTTCTAGGAAAATCGCTGGTACAACTACTTCTACTATTTTTGGCATTGTTCACAATGTGTTGACAGGATACTGTAGTGCACGCTTATGAATAATAAAAAAATAATCTATTTCTTTACTTTTGTTAAGTAGCGATAAGCCATAAAATAATTGTAAAATACCTTATTGAATTGTGTTAGTCCATTGTTTATTGCCGTGGCACTTACGAAATTAATGAACACTAAATTTATGGACAAGAAAAATATAAGCTTTTGTTAAAGCATGTAGACAATTGTGGGCAGCTTTAGCTGATAGCGCTTGAGATATTTCTTAATATTTTTAATATATTTTTAAGGAACTGTCAACGATTTTCTATTAAAAGCGCGCAATGGCAAAAAATATGTATGTATGTATGTGTGTGTGTTTATTAGGGTGGTCCCTAAAAATAAATAAAAATTCGCGAAAATTTCCAAATAAAAAAATTTGTATAGGTAAAAAACATTCGACACAATTTTACTTGAAATCTTGTAAATTTGACATATTATTGAAACTTATTCACGCACATGATGTTTATATTTTAAGGACCACCTTAATATGTATTTATATACATATCTAAACTGTATAATAAAACTA